TCTAACCGAGTGCTTTCTGCTAGGGGTTGCGCTATTCCGGCGTCAACTTCCATCCCCAGTTCGGTTGTGTTAGTTAGGTCGACTGGGCAGATATGATGACTTCCAGGAGTAAACTCTGTGACGAAGTCTGCCAAAGATTGGGCCTTTACTGCGGTTCTGGGTTGGAACTTGATGTCGAATTGTCCAAACTCTACTGACCACTTCAAGATTCGCCCAGAAAAGTTCGCCCTCTCAAACAAAGCCTTTAGTGGAAAAGCTGTGAGGACGACTATGGTGTGGGCGTGAAAGTAGTGTGCCAATTTCCTGGAGGCCATCATTAAGGCCAACGCTAATTTTTCTAGTGGCAAGTACCTTATTTCGGCTCCTAGCAATGTCTTGCTGACATAATAGATGGGCAGATGCTGGATTCCTTCTGCACGAACCAACACTACGCTAATTGCGTGCTGAGAGACAGCCAGGTACAAGAAGAGTTCTTCACTAGGTACTGGGGTAACGAGCAGTGGTGGGGAAGACATATATTCCTTCAAGCTTTCCAGAGCTTGGTCGCATTCTTCATCCTACTCAAACTTGGTCTTCAAGGCATGAAAAAATGGTCGTAGTCTATCTAATGATCGGCTTATGAACCGATTGAGCGCAGCTGCCATGCCGGCGAGATGCTGTACTTCCTTTACTGAGTTTGGTCTCTCCAAATCCTGGTTTGCTTTGATCTAAGAGGGGTTAGCTTCTATACCCCGGTTGGTCACAAGGAAGCCCAGGAATTTGCCAGACCCTACTCCGAATGCACATTTGGATGCATTGAGGCGCAGCTTGTGCTTCTTCAAGATCTCAAACATCTCGCCTAGGTCTTTGAGATGGACATTCTCATCCTTGCTCTTGACCACCATGTCGTCGATGTAAGCCTCCATTGTTTTGTCTAACAATGGTTCAAACATCTTGGTGACCATCCGTTGGAATGTTGCCCCAGCGTTCTTTAGGCCAAAGGGCATGACCGTATAACAGTATAGTCCTCTTGGAGTTGTAAAGGATGTGACTTCCTGGTCTGGTTCATGCATGGCGATTTGGTGGTAGCCTCTGTATGCATCCAGAAAGCTAAGTCGGTTGTGCCTCGCCGTTAGGTCTACTAGTTGATCTATCCGTGGTAGAGGAAAGCTGTCTTTTGGGCATGCCTTATTGACTGTTTTATAGTCGATGCAGACACGCCACTTGCCATTCTTCTTTGGCACTACGACTGTGTTGGAGATCCATCTTGGGTAGTGCACTCCTCTAATTGGTCCTGCCTCCAGTAGGTTTCCTACTTCTTCCGCCACTATCTCGGCATGGTGGAGTGCTGATCTACGTGTTCGTTGGATGATTGGTCTGGCAGATGGGTGGACATTAAGTTGGTGACTGATGAAGTTTGGATCAATGCCTGGCATGTCGTAGGGTGTCCAAGCGAACACTTCGATGTTAGAGGTTAAGAATTCTAAGACCTCTAATCTCTCAGTGCTGGACAACGACGAACCGAGCAAAAAGAACTTATCCAGGTTCTTTTCATCTATTGTTACCTCTACCAAGTCCTCCACTGCTTTCTGATCAGCCGCTTTGCTGACATCTGCGAATAGCTCATTGCTCTCTGGTTCTTCCACCGAATGAACGTATCCTTTGGCAGCGCGGCTGCCGTTCACCGTGACGAAGCATTGCTTTGACATGATCTGATCTCTATAGACTTCTTCAATTACCCCGGTATCGTTGGGGAACCGTATTACTTGGTGGTAGGATGACGCCACTGATCGCATGGCATGCAGCCATGTTCTGCCCAAGATGATGTTGTAAGTGGAGGGGACCTTCAATACCCAGAACTCCATTTGTTTCGTCACACTTCCTACTCTGACTGGAAGAATTATTTTACCGACGAGCCATTCTGGTATGGAGTTGAATCCAATTAGGAGAGATACGGCCGGCGCCAAGTCTTTGTCTTGCAGCTTTAATTGTTTAAATGTTTCGTAGTACATGATTTCACATGAACTACCCTGGTCAATCAGAATCCGCTTGACGTCAAAATCCTTGACTCGGAGAGTGACGACCAGGGCATCATTGTGAGGGCAGTATATTCGTTCCACGTCTTTATCAGAAAAAAACATGACGTTTGTTGCCTCTGTCTTCCCCTTCTTGATGGCAGGTTGGGCACTTAGCACCTCTCTAAAGTGCTCAGCCTTTTTGATTGATCCCCTGAGCTCGCATACACGCTCAGGTTCAAAAACTCCATGTATCACATTGATAATGCCTTGAGGTGGGGCGTCGATTGGCATACCATTGGGGTTATTATGGTCCTGGGGGGCTGGCTGCGTCCCTCCTTCAATGTATTTATTCAAGTGACCAGCCGCCACCAACTCCTCCAGGTGCTGTCTCAATGGTGTGCAATTATCAGTGCGGTGCCCCTTTTTTCTATGGAAGGTGCACCGCGATCTTTCGTCGTAGTCTTTCTGTGCTTCTCCCAGCTTGGCCGGCCACTTGACGAAAGGCTCATCTCTTATTTCGCTCAGAATCTGATATATCGGTTTCTTGAACACCGTGGTTATGGTAGTGCGGATTCTCAACCATCTTTTATCCGGGTCTTCTCCGTTATCTCGTCTGCTACGTCCGTTTCTGTTTGGTCGATCTACCGTATTAACCTTTGCTGAGGTCTTTTTTTCTGGTACTGTGGTTGCCCCAGATTTTGCTTTGGCACGTGCGCCATCCTCTTCTACCTGATGTGCTGATGCACTCTTTCCATCAAGGCTTCCATGGTGAGGGGTGGCGTCATGGTGATCGAGTCCCTTAGTCTGTTCCCGACTAGAAGGCTCTTTTATACTGTGCAATGGCGAGATTGGTGGGGCAGTTCCCAATCTGATTGAGTCTCTAGTAGCGACTGTTGTAGGATCTTAGGGTCTCTTTATCGCCCATGTCGATGGAGAGTAGCTGGTCGATTTCCACCGGGGTTTTAGTGTTTGTTCGGAACCTTGTTACGAGCGCCTCTGCCAATTGCGCCCAAGAGGCTATGCTGCCCTCTGGAAGTTTCTCGAACCAAGTTAAGCCTAGGTCGCCAAGGCTAGATGGGAAGAGTATGCACATTAGGGCCTCGTTTCGCCTGTATACAGCCATGACCTGGCGAAAGTGGCTCAAGTGTGAGTAGGGGTCCGTCTTCCCTTCATATGTAGTGAATTTGGGCTGAAGGAAGCCTGATGGTAGGGGCGTGTTTTCAATCGTCGGAACAAACGGCGAAGTCTGCAGCCTTGCTACTGCTTTGTCCGTTGGTTCGTAGGCAAGGCACGGTATTGGCATTCCAACCTCGACGCTTCCATGTGTCCGAGGAGCCAACCGCTGTAAGGCAGAAACTCTGTGTGGATCCCGTGCCTTGGCATCCTCCTTGCATCGTGCCTTTTCTTCGAGCACGGTTCGTAAGTCGGATGATCTGGGTAACTCCGTCTGTCTGGATCTGGTTTGGAGCGTATGTGAGGGCCAATACGTGCTTCCTTCAGTGTATGATCTTTCAGATCTCGTCCTCTCAGACCTGGAGTGATGAGTTCTGGAAGACCTGGATTGAGTGTCGCCTGTCCTGAGGCTTCTGCTTTCTCCTTGCGAGGGTGTGGTATTCCTACTACGATTTTCTGAGTGGCGAGGGGGCATCTTGTTTTTGTGCCCCTCTCCTGTCGCCACTTCTTTTCTCTTCATCTGGCGCTTCAAGGCCTCCATGTCCGCTGCCATCTTCTTTATTAATTCATCTTGTTCCTTTACGCAGTCCTCCAGAGCTTGAGGATCAATCCTCCGCCTTTGCCTGTCAGGACTTTGTGAACGAGACTGACGAGGGCTGTTAGTCCGCCTTCCCCTAGTATTCCTCCTAGGGTTATGTCGTTGGGGCTCCAAGTTCACCATGGGAGGGATAGAAGGTAGTCCTTCACGCCTTGCACCCCCATCTGGTGTTTGCCCGTCGATGGCGGACTGCGGTAAATCTTCGTTGTGCGCCATTGTTCCTAAAGAGGTAAAGCTTGATCAAGAGGTTTTGTCCTGTCTGTTCTTCCCACAGACGGCGCCAATTGTACGGGAAAGAAATAAACCTTCTCGTATAATCCTGTTGATCAAGTCTGCACTCCTCTGTACGTCGTCGCTTTATCACCTGAAAACACAAACGTGAGCTAACTGGCGGGTGTGTGTCGGAAACCTCTCCGATGCCTAAGTCAGCAAGCTTGACAAATAAATAAAAGCTCTGTGTATTCAGAAAGCAAAGTTGTGTCTTACCCCTCCAAAGGTGATGTTTGTGAGCTTTTATAGGTTTCGTGTGGCACAATCCTAGTAGGACTTCTACTCCTCCATGCAGAGTCCTCCTAGGATTCATACTCCTGAAAGATAATGCTTATCCTTCAACACCCCCCTCACTGCTTAAACCAAGTGAGATGGTTCTATCATGGCCGAACTCCAATATAGCCGAAGTAAACATGACTATGCATAGCCGTAGGATAAGCCGAACTAGAGCTTCCTTTTACTGCTCTTACGTCGGCTTCTCATGCACAACCCATGGCGTGGGTAGACCGAACTAACAAGTCGTGACCGGTGTAACTCCGAGACCGGTCTAACTCAAAGGTACCATTAGACCGATCTAACTCCGATCTTACGTCGGACCGGACTAGCTTCACAGCCTTAGGACCAGACTAACTTCAAAATATCCACACGACCGGAGTAACTTTACATGCCCTTTTTACTCGGCCCTTTGTATTGCGGCTCATAGCGGCCAATTTACGTAGCTTGGCCCAATTTTCACATAAATTACCCTATCAGAAGAGTTTGTCTAAATTTTATATAGGTTGAAGTTGTATGAAACTACATCAGACAAACCAAATGTAGAAAGCACAAGGAGACAAGAGAGCCTTCTAAAGCAAGAACAACCAGAGGAAGATAATCAATGACAGTAAAACTGCTGCATGGTTGGCTAGCGAGGCTGTAGTGAAATCATGGTAATAATGCATGCAAAAGAATGACACACTCACCAGGAAAACAAGTAATGAGTCTCTGTCATATGCTGATCTTCCAAGAGGCCTGCAAGCACTTTTGCTCAATAAATAATATTTGAAGGAGTCTCATTCATCAAGAGATCCTTGAAATCATCACTATCACAATCCTCAAACTCAAAAGGAATAGGCATTCCACTCAGTTCCCTCTCCCTAACCTAAGGCACAATTATAAGATATACAAATTTGAAAATAAAGATCATAATTTAATCTAGAAATATTTCCTAACTGTAAGATTATATTATTTAAATCTTCTCAAATCAGCAGCTATATAACATGTAGTATGCTTAGAGGAACAACACACAAATAATGAAAGTTATGAAACCATAAAATCTTGTGAGCAGAAAAGTATCTAGCAACCACTAGAATTATTTGATTTGCAAGAAAATTGACGATACAAACCATTCATTGTGAACTTGCAAAAGTCATTAATTTAAACAGAGCATAAAGTCATTAATTTAAACAGAGCATAAAGTCATTAATTAGTTTGTTATTATGATAAATCCTACATACATGTGACAGATGTGCAAACTTATTTTAAAACCAATGACCTTAACTACTCAAATGAATGAATAAACATATTACATCATCCTATTTAACTCAAGCATTGACAATGAAACAACTAGTCAAAACTTTGAAATTATATGAAATTTAAACATTGTGTTTGTTCACAAGACAAGAGATTGGGGTATACATGTTGTGACCAATTGACTTACAAACTATCTATCCATCATTTACGAATTGCTGCTTAAGAATTTTACTTTACTTAAACCATGTAGTTAAAAAGTAAAAGAATTAAATAGTTCTACTCCTCCATTCACAATTATAAATCATGAAATAAATTATGCACTTTAGAATGGCAAGTTTGACGAGCAACTGGAGAAAAAAGAAACTGTTACTATTATTATTATGAAGAAAAAAAATTGTAAACCAAATTAATATTTCTATTTCTTTTATATATTAAAAACATTTATAGTACTTGGACAACTAATTTTTGATAAAAATTTACAACTAAACACCATATGAAATCAATAGTGCAAATTCAATAAGGGTTGTTAACCCAAGTTCTTGTTTGTAAATGGAATAGTTAGTAGTTCTATAGATGCAAAAGAATAAAATCGCCACCAGGATAGATAGCAAGGATCTCACATACCAAACTTTGTAAATACTTTTTTGTGATTATTTATGTGCTATAAATATGAAGACACTTTCACTTGCTCACAGAAAATGAATGCTTGGTAATCATCTGAACTACGCAACCTCTCATTCACTTGCTCACAGAAAATGAACTCTTGCTTGGACATGCCTGGTATGATATTGAGCAAACCACAAGTAAAAGAAGTTAAGAAATAAGAGTATAGCAAGCTTATTCAACATGTGGCAGCAATCCAACTGAAAACCATAAGAGACAAGCTGGCATTTTTGAATTTCAAAGCAGTGAGATAAAATAAAACATATGCATGTTCTCCAAAGAAATCAAACAATAAGCAACATGGGAAGATCAGAGTTCAGGAAAAGGGGAAATGAGATAAAATAAAGCATATGCATTCTCTATCAGTGCAGTCATTTTCCAACCTCCAACATATATTCCTCCAAAAACCACTAATAAATAATAAAAAATTCCACAACATTTTAAAAGATTTAGCATTATATATATGTGACATAAAAGCTGACTTCCCAATGACTACAGAACATAATAAATCACAACTGCTTTTACATCAAGAAGAAGTCATCTTTATAATCATAAGTGGCATCATCAACTTACTTCTTAAGGCTTCTTTATCATCATAAGAGGCTAAAACAAGATTCACTCCAAAGTCTTCAACCTTCCAGGTAGATTTCCTTTTGTCATGAAACCGTTGCATGTTGAAGTCCCTATTGCTATCATGCTCGGTAAACCTTCAATCCAAATTCAACCAAAAATAAGACAAACAATCCCAACCATATAAAAAAATTCAGATTGTTTAATATGAGCTTATATAGGTGTAGAAGTGATTGACACAAAGTTTAAAATAGCTAAAGCCTAAATGGGTATGGAAACATGGAATTAGGAAATGGTACAAAAGATTGTATAGCAAATACAAGTAATGTTAGCACAAACCTAAAGCAAAATCACCAGCCTAAATACTCTACCCCAGGCTTGCTAACCAATCCCCCCAATGCAAACTTTGACTTTTTGCAAGTTGAAAATAATATCATTAATTGAAAAATTCAAAGAGGGGCAAGATACTTTGATCCACATTGCAATCCTTAATTTAATAGTCTCACACAGCTCCTCTATATATGGCTGTGACCCCTTAAAAATGCAATTATTCCTCTATTTCCAAATGGACCATTGCATAGCCAAAGGAATGGCCCTCTAGATGATATTATTCTATTTTTAAAATTTAATACCAGCCCACCATTGTAGTAAGCAATTCACAGAGCCAGGTAGTACCCATTGCAAGCCTCACCATCTGATAATATGAGACCAAACCTTCTAGATAAAAGGACAAAAGAGCAACACATGGTTTAATTCTTCCCCCTCTTCATTACAAAAAATGAAGTTTACATTAGCTTCACCACTTAGAATGCTTCATGTGATAGTGTTACTCATGCATATATCTAAGGTGTCTTGTATAATAACCCATGTAAAAAAAAGTTAGAAGTCAAATAAAGCTAGTAAAGAAATGGTGATGAAGAAGGAAAGCCTGCAATGCAAGACAAGGACTGAATTTGTCATAGTTAGTAATGTGATTGGACAGAGTGATAACTTCTTGAAAATCAACAATATTTTGTCATAGATATATTATGAAAGCTGATCCATTTCTGGATAGATTAGCTAAAGTTGATTAGGTTTTAATTGTTGCCTTTTGTTTTGTTAGTGCCTTTTACTAAATCCAATTTATTTATTTATTTTCCTGTTAGATAGGGGAAAAAAAACTCTATTTATAAATGCATGTGTTACACACAAACACATAAAGAAATATGTCTTCTACCTTTTCAACTATCCCTCCATTAATGTAATCACCAAAGCTTTAGGTACAAGTCAAGCATCATGCATAGAAGAAACAACCAAGATAGCCTCATTTAGAAATTTTCCCCAAACAAGCTCAAGTGGTTTATCAGATTATACAAATCAACCCCCAAAAATAAATGTAAAAGAAAGGCAAAAGAATCAATAGATTTGAAGCAAAGAAACCCATTTACTCGATAATCAGTTCAAAAAACCCTAAATCTAGAACAAAAATCAAAACCCATTTACTCGAAACATAGAGATCAAAATCCTACAACATAAAAAAAAAACCCTAGAGCTAGAGTGAAATAAGGAAATAGAGGAAGGGGGAGAGAGAAAGAGAGAAGAACAAAGAATAACCTGAATGTCAATGGGAGGCGAGGCAATGGTGAGCTGCGGTGGCGATGTTCGATAGTGGAAGATTGACGGACACTGTGGTCGTCTGGGACTGCGAGAAGAGGGGCGGTGGTGATCGATTCTCTGAGAGAGAAAGAGAGAGAGAGAGAGAGAGCAAGAGAGAGATAGAATAGAACCGTGTGAAGACTAACAGATTTGGGCAAAAATTTAGGCGCCAATATGAAATATTTCCCACTAAATTTTTATACACATTTGGTGACGAGATTTTAGTCGGGAAATATTAACAAATGACGACTAAAATTATTTTAGTAGCCAAAACATGAACTAATGCCGAAATTTTTTTTTCTAGTCACCAGAAGTGTAACACCATTGCCGACTAAATGGTTTTGGTCGCTAAAAATACATATTTAGCGACCAATTTTTTGGTCGTCGAAGACTAAATTAAACTTGCAAATTATTATTTGGCAACTAAATTATTATTTAGTTGGAAAAAATTGATATAGCTCGACTAAAAAAAATATTAGTAGCCTAAACCCTAAACTAACGCCAACCAATTGTTTTTTTTGTCGCCTATTGTTATACTTTTGGCGACTAAATTTTTTTTAGTCGGCAAAAATTAACATACCACGACTAAAAAAATTTAGTAGCCTAAAATCTATGTTAAAGCCGACCAATCATTTTTTTAGTCGCCTATTGTTACACTTTTGACGACTAAATTTGTTTTAGTCGCCAAATTTAGTCGCTAAAAGTGTAAATTCTTGTAGTGTCTCTTTTGTAGTTGGTTTCTCATTAATCCTTGATAGTGTACTAGCATATGATTGGGTTGGTGTTTTGGTGCTAATCTAGATGGGATTGAGATATTTCGCTATGATCTTTGCACTCATTTGTTTCCTTTATTAATGTAATATTTTCAAATATTTATCAATAAAATTTCATCTATTCGTTATCTAATAAAAATAATAAATAAATTAAATAAATAAATAAAAACAGAATTAGGTTGGAATCCATGTATATGCTTAATTTGTCATTTCAAGACGCGGATTCCACCAGGAATTTCCTATCCAAAACTGGATTTAACATACTACTGTCACAACTTCTCCTCTCTTATCTCAGCGGCCAAACTTCTTGGGTTTGTGCACAAACAGAATATTAAAATAATGCGAAAGGTTCGAAAAGATATTTTGTAGAAATTATGTGTTTAGTTTGCTTTTAGAATCATAATTTTGAAGGTATAATTTTTAAATTATTTTTCAAAATTTATAACTAAATACACAATTCAAAATTATTTAAAATTTCATTCAAAAATTATTTTTAAAACTCATAACCAAACACACAATTCAAAACTCAATTTAAAACTCTTTTCAAAACTCTGTTGATAATATATTGTTGAAGATGTTTAGTAACGGGATTGTTAAATTATTTTTATTAAAAATCTAAAAAAATAATTTTTATATTTAAAAAATATCTAAAACAAATGTATATATATATATATATATATATATTTAAAATAACAGGTTGCAATTGTAAAAAAAAAAAGCAAAAAAAAAAAAAAAAAACAAATTTGCACTGTTATTGTCAACCAACTGGACGTTTGGAAGGATGTTCGGGCGGACGATCGGGTAGTCCCAATCCGCTCTTTTCAAAATTTAAAATTCAAAAATTCCTTTCAAAACTCATATCCAAACAAATTTTCTCTTTGCAAAACTCAACTCGCAATTTCACACTCAAATCACAACTCCAAAAAGAGAATCACAATTCCAAAATTAAACCAAACGTAAGTAATTTTTTGTTAGAACCCTGACCCATGATTAACGCTAATTCACGTTAAGTATGCCAAATAAGTAATTAAGAAGAAATCTTGAGTCAATTACATGTGCATTGCATCATTTTGTGTCTATATCTGTTTAACGTAAAAAGATTTGTTTATGTTTTTCTTTCGGTTTGTGAATTGAAGGCCTTATCGGCATCCGTTACAAAAATTGACTTCAATTATGTGTTATTTGGTATTTTTAGGAATTTTTGGAGAGTTCAATTTGAAATCAATTCGGAATCAAATAATTAGAATAAAGTAACTCCAATTGATTAGTCTAAGCTTACATTGATTAAGCTCCACTAATAAGCCTATATAAGGCTACTTTGACTCCTTTACTTGGCTTTACACTCTCATTTCCTACTCTTTGATGCTCAAAAACGTGAGAGACAGAAGGGAAGAAAAGATTGAACACAAACAAGAGGGATTGCTAGGAGAAAAGGAATGAACCTTGGAGATTGATCATCTAGCTCAAGAATTTGGCATCTAGGACTCAATAGAACATCTAAGGTAAGAAGCCAAGTCTCTAGTCTTGGAATTGAGTTAATTCATCTATGAATTCAAGAGAATTGAGCTATGAAATGTGAGAATTAAGCTTAGGTAATAGGAAGGAAGATTAATTCATGCATGCATGTCTATTCCTTTACAAGTTGAGCATGATTTCCAAGAATTCTCTCATGCATGTTTTGAATTCACCTTGATTTTGGGAAATTATCAAGTTTTACGTTGTTTTATGGCATTTGATCATGTTTCGTGAAACTCAAGATCAAGAAAATTCATGCATGTTATGATCATGAAACATTTATAAAGTTTAAGTTGAATTTTTGAACAATTGACATACTTTGGGGCCTTGATTTCATGAAATGATCTTCAAACCATGATATTTTGTGAGTTTCTAAGTGTTTTCCAGAATTTTGGCCCAAGATGATGAGTTTTGAAGTATTTGGTTTGAGTTTGACGCTTTGAGATCAAATCTAGAAATTCTAGATTTTTGCATTCACGCTTAAGCATCACATTTTGCATTTCCGCTCGAGCGAGGAAAGCTACGCTCGAGCGAGACCCTTGTTTTCAGCAAGTTTTGAAAAATATTTTTAAGTGCATTTTTGCATCCTCATTCCATCCTAGGCATTCCTAAGCCATGATTAAGACTCCATAATGAGGATTAAAGGCTAGAAACACACTAAGAACAAATGAATTAAGCTATGTACAATCGAGCGTGTGATTCAATGTATGAATCTGCCATGTTATGTAGATCACGCGTCGCAGGAAAGGTGAATTGCCCACTTTGCCATCTAATTGGAGCTACCAATTATCTATGAGTAATAACTCTGTAAAGTTATGTTTAACTTTAATTATTTTCTGATATTATGAAATGATAAATTTTCTGAAATATTATGTTTTGTATGAATGAATGATTGCCCAAATTTCTTTGAAACGTAATTCTGGTATCCTTAGCAAAGGCCCTCGCCCAAGGGACATAATACTGTGGCTTATGGTCATGAGGCCCTAGCCCGAGGGATAATACCATGGCCCAGGCCCTCGCCCGGGGGAAATAATACCGTGGCACAGGCCCTCGCCCGGGGGAAACAATACCTTGGCCTATGTATGAGATGTGTCATCCGATATTGGAGGTTCCTTTATGGAACTTGATATGCTTGACCAAAGAGACATGATTACACTAATGGATGTACCACACATGATTTGAATATGGATAATATTATGATTTTGTTTTTGTCATCTGAATATGATTCTGATTTGCTATGAGGTTTGAAATATGTTATGGGCATCATTTATTAAAGTCTTTACTCTGTTATTATTCACTAGGCTTTAGCTCACTATTTATATTATGTATGTAGGTGAGCAGGCACG